ACAATTCATCCTGTAATCTAGTCAGAGAATTACTATAACAGTGCAATTCTGATGATATTTTACAGCAATTATATGTTAGTGAGTAACCATACAGTGAGGTTGTTTTTTTTTAAAATAAGTTATATTCTGAATAAGCCTAATACAAAGAAAAACTAAAAACAACATCAGTCATCAGAAACATCAGACCTACTGGGTCAGCCCCCACATTTTTTTCTTTTTATGTTAACTTATAAACATATTTAAATCTATGCGAAACCCTGTTTCGCTAGCCAATAGTAAAAAGAGTCCCAGGTTTGATAGAAGTCAGTATCTTCTTTCTCCTTCAGTGACAAAGTCAATCCGTCCATTTCTGCACAGTCCAAGATCTGTTTTAGGATCAGTTCATCGGTGGGTGGTTCTTCACTTTTCCAGTGTTGGGCAAATGCAATCCTTGCCGCAGTAATTACATGTAAAATCAAGTACATTTCTTGTTTACTAATATCATCAGGTATAATGCCTAATAAGAAAACTTCAGGTTTAAAAGCTAAAGACTTTTGTAACATTTCCTCAAGCCATTTATGTATTTTAATCCAATACTTTTTCGCTTTATCTCAAGTCCACCACGTATGATAGAAAGTACCCATTTTATGTTTACATTTCCAACATCCATTTGACATATTTGGAAACATTTTAGCTAGTCTGTTTGGCGACAAATACCATCTGTAAAACATTTTATACAAGTTTTCTTTATATGAAGTTGCTAATGTTACCTTAATATTTCTCTCCCACAGCTTTTGCCATTTTTCTAATTCAATATTATATCCAAGTGAGTTTACATATTGTTCCCCAATATCATCTGTTGAAAAACAAAAAACAAAAACAAAACATATGCAAATCAAGAAAAGTTAAGTTTGTATTTGAAAATTTGAATGTTTCTCAGGAATTCACCATTCATATATAAAGGCAAAAGTATTTTCCTCTGTACATCTGAGCCACATTTCATTACAATGTGACCATCATGAACTCATCAAGCTCAATAGCTAACCTATTTTACTAGGTAAACAAGTATCAGTATTCATAAACTGCCTAGGAGAACATGCTGGCTTCACGGTCCAGTATGCTATTATACGTTGATTTTAAAAGACCTGGAGCAGCCATGCAGTTTGATCATATGCTCTTGTGTTCAACTGTGTGCTAGGTCCTGCAGCAATTAACTGTTAATGAGGAGGGATTGCATGTGTAAAGTAGCCAGGCACTACCTTCTTCAAGGTTTTTTCATCCACGGTCTTCTGATCCTTTTCAGTGCAATGACCCCTTGACATAATGCACAGATAAATAATTCCAAACTGCATGCCAAAGCTGTCTTATTTATAAAGGCAATGCAGTATCATTCACTACTCTTCTAACTTCAGTTGTAGTTGCTGCAGAACTATTCCCTTTATGATTTCACTGCATTAAAAGCAGGGCTGGGACTGAGGCTTCTATAAGTATATATGTATATATATTCTATATAGTATATGGATCTGTTTTTATTTGTTGAGCAGTTGGTATGTGTGTGAGTGTTTCCACAGTGGGTTTGAAGGTATGGGCAAAAAGAGTGATGGCACGATCTACCATCCTGGATGCAAAGAGGTTTTAACAAGGGAAGATGAAAGCAGGGACTTGCATGTTGTTAATTCTGTTCCATTTGGGTTTCACAAATTCTCAGGCAGCTTTCATTCTGTCATCTGTTCCTTGCTGGAATCCAATTTGTTTCAATATCCTGAACTTATCTTCATTTGCATCTGCAGAAATTTGCATACCTAAAAAGCAGAAACTCCCCCCAAATGTGCATTTTCATGCTATATCTTATGCAGGACACTGCACATGTTTGGTCTGTTTTTAATTTTCTGAGGAGGGAGTATTTTTCTACAACTAAATCTGAAAAAGTAAAAAATTGATCTGCAAGTCTGCAGAATCTGTGCAATTCAGGAAAAGCTAGTCTGCTGCAGAATCTGCAAGTTGGATTTATAGAATTTTGAGCTCATCTGACTCTGTTTTGGATTTCTCTGACATTACTAGTTTGGAGGTTGGGAGAGTTGCTTGCAGGCCAATCCCATTGCAAACATCTTACTTCCAAAATACACAAGCTACAGCCTCAGTGGTTATGGTGGTGAGAGCAGTACTGGAGCTATCTCCAAGGGAAGTTATTTTCCTTGGCATGCAAGTATGTAGTAATGTATAGCAACATACATATGGAAAATATAATTTATTTACATTTTTCTGTAAAAGTAGCTTATTTTTTTAATCTGTGGCCTTAAATACTTCCTACATTTGAACTGGCTTTTGGCAATTTCCTAGTAATATCATTGTTCTACTGTTTTATTTTTGGCTGAAATGTAAATTTCTCTTTCTTAGTAATCATTCATGGGTTTTGCCCTTTCCATTGAGACATCCAAGAATGGAAACAATATTGCTTAATGTCTTTTTCCCTTGTAGATTAACTGTCTGGTTTTGTTTTTGTTTTTTTGTAAATACTATTCCTATGCCTAAAATGAAATGGAATTCACATTTTCTGTTATGCTAGGGGAAAAAACACAATATTTTATAATAAAAATAGAACTCTTACAATATAATGTTCAGATGCACCTAACAGGGTTTCTTTTATTGGGAAGGCTATTTTTCTTTTATCCCCTTTAATAGTCATTAAGAGTAATCTAATATGATCTCTCATATGAGAGATGCTGCTTTAAATATAAAAAAAATTAAATTTGGTGATGTAAAGCACTTCTGTATTTGTAACAGAAGATTATAGCATTTCTGCAATCTGATACTGTGCATTTCTACTCAAAAGTAAACACCACTGAGTTCAATAGCCACCTACTCCCAAATATTCATCAGACTACCATCTTCATATTCTTATTATTAATATCACCACACTGCACTTATATATTGCCTTTCTCCCTCTTGCAAGGAACCCAAGGCAGCTTACATAGTATTCCTCCACTCCATTTTATCTTCGCAACAACCCAGTGAGATGAGTTGGGCTGAGAGTAAGTGATTGGCCCCAGGTAGCCAAGTCAGGGTTAGACCCCCCATCTTCCAGGTTCCCCATTCCAACATTATAATCCCCACAAGGGCTTCCATAAATACAAATATGCATGTTTCTTAGTTTCTTTTGTAAGTCACATATGCTTACAAAACAGTTAAGGTCAAGCAAACCTTCTGCAATTAAAATGATCTCATTTAATTTCCCTTGCCAAGATTAGTTAGCAACAGCTTTTTAAAAAATATATCCTTAGGTTTATACTTATGTGTGCAGTATCTGCAGCTTCAAATAACCAAAACAAACTTTCTGGAAGTAACATGAAACTTAAATTTATTCTTACTAAACATTCAAAAGTATTGTTATAAATAAGAAGATACATGAAAGATCTTTACATTCCATATTTTATAAAGTAATATTTTGAAAGTACATTTATATACACTATTTACAGACTTGTTTGTACAGCTCTTCCTCTACATATACAGAATACTGCAGTTTATTTAGAGAAAAATACCAAGTTTGTTTAATTTGGCAAAATAAAGTCAGATGAAAAGAGAACTGCATTTTCTATCCACATTAAAAAAAAACTTTAGAATTCAGTACTAACTCATCAATCGGCTAACAGCAGTGCTCACTTTGGCTAAGTGCCATTTTCAAAAATACCTGCTGATACATTGAAAATTTATATTTTACAACAGAAACCTCTGTTCTAGAGACCAACGTATTTCAGTTCTGTGTAGCCTGTATTGCTACACAGATCCAGTGTCATGCTAGCAGACATCCACAACTGCAATGGGAATTCCCTGATCAACCCTCCAGGTGCAGTATGACTCTGCACTGGAAAATCTTCTAACACTCTTGGCGGCGTACAGGGGGCTGGAAAATCTATTCTGCTAGTTGATGTCCAGCACTGGATTCAACCTGTTGGCTTCTACTACTGTGTTTCCCCGAAAATAAGACCTATCCCGAAAATAAGACCCCGTTCACAGCTTGGGAGTGCTCCTTGACCCGGAACTGACTTTGGAAGCTCAAGTGTTGTTGACGGTGGCGAGGAGCGCTTTCCATCAGCTTCGGCTAATCCATCAGCTGTGTCCCTACCTGGAGGACGACTGCTTGGCAACAGTGATACATGCATTGGTTACTTCCCAATTAGACTTCTGTAATGCGCTCTACGTGGGGCTGCCCCTGAAGATGGTCCAGATACTTCAGATTGTGCAAAATAGAGCTGCCAGGTTGCTGACGGGAACTGGGCGTTGTTCTCATATAACCCCAGTCCTCCATCAGCTTCACTGGCTCCCCATTGAAGTCTGGGCCCAATTCAAGGTGCTGGTGATTACCTATAAAGCCCTAAACGGTTCGGGGCCTGGGTATCTGAAGGAGCGCCTGTGTCCATACTTGCCCTTCCGCCCTCTAAGATTGGCAGCAGAGGCCCTTCTCCGGGAATCCTTCGTGAAAGATATTAGGAGGGTGAGTACCCAGAGGAGGGCCTTCTCTGCGGTGGTGCCCTACTTGTGGAACGCGCTCCCCAGAGAGGTCCGCCTGGTGCCATCGTTATTCGTTTTTTGGCGCCAGGCCAAGACCTTTTTATTTAAATGTTATTTTAATTAATTGTTAAAGTATTTATTGGTTTTATTTATTGCCTGGACGTGTCCAATTTTTATATTTTTGTATTGTTATTTATTTGCTGGAAGCCACCCAGAGGCTTATGTGAATGGGGCGGAATACAATTATCCCAAATAAATTAATAATAAAATAGTACTATTTTTGGTACTTGCTAAAATGTAAGACCTACCCCAAAAATAAGACCTAGCTGTGTTTATTTCGAGGCCCAGTGGGGAACATAAAGAGCCTTTTTAAGCTTTATTTTTTAACTTAACTTTATACACTGTGTGGAGAAAACATGCTTATGCAGCTCCGCTTCCTCTATAGCGCCGGCTCCTGTCACAGGCGGAGTGATACCAAATGTACATGTATTCACGCTGTTGTACATGAATAAGTGTGGATTGTTGTACACATTAAAAATAAAAAAAATAAGACCTACCCCGAAAATAAGACCTAGTGTATATCCCAAAAAAAATACAAGACAGTGTTTTATTTTCAGGGAAACACGGTATGTGCTGCCATTTTATGGTACTTGCCCGGAAGCTGAGCATGAGATACTGTTTCCAACCAGGCAGGTGGATGACACAGAAGGACAGGACACCCATAAGGCCTAAACAATAGAAAGGAAGTCTACATTGAGTGTTTTCAGATTGTACACCCTGCTTCCTGCACACCGTGCTGAGTGCTTTTCTTGCAGTAAACCAGTCTCAATCTATCTTCCTCTCCTACCAATAAATAGTTGGTACCCTAATTTAGCAAAGAACCAAAAAGAAAAAGAACACAAAAAGCAATCTCTACAGCAAAGACTGACAAACTTTCTGGTGCCAAGAGTCACACGGGATATCTGCTGGGATGGCAGAGGCCATATGCCTTTGCAGGTACTCATGCATGCACACACATGCACATATGTTTGACTCTTGGCCAAGAGAGTTTCAGCAGCCAGGCAGCTATTTTGATCAGATAAAAGTGCATTTCTCCAGAAACTTGTTTTCAACCACCTAGTCCTGGTTTCTAGCCCTTCCTCCTCTAATCCACTCCCTTCCTGAAAATTGTTGACCTCTCACACTGTTACTTGAAATTTTTCAAGAAAAAATGTTTTGGAAAAGGCTGCATGGTTCCTACCATAGAAACCCTGTTCCTAGAGCATCCTAGGAAGCAGGCAGGAGCCTTTGCACACTGCTTCCTAAGAGGTAATACAAACAAGGCTTCTATCACTGGAAAAACAGGGACAATTCTACTTTCACTGGAAGGTGATTTCCCTTTGCAGCTCATCAGAAAGCTGCTCTGATGGTTGAGAAAACATGAAGCAGCATAAAAGGTGGTGCAGGGGATGTAGAGGGAATCAGCAAAAATCAGTGCACTCGCAAAGCTGTGTACGCAATCAAGCTGATTGGTCAAATTTGTTCCATTTCTGAATCCAGATTTGAATAATGACACCAATGTTACTTTAATGAGCTTACTTTTTAAAACTTGTATTTGTTTTAAAATAACTCACATGATTGTTGCTTTTAAAAAGCTATTAAAATGACAATTAAATTGCAGTCTCTTGCTCTTTGTGTCATGTAAGCTGTTACTTTTTCTTTCTGTATTTCAACCATATTAGAAATCTATAAAAATGCTAAAAGTGATCAAGTGTCTGTTTCAACATACAACAACCAACTTGAGCTATAAGATGATTACAATCAATATTGAAAGCTTAATCTAGCAGAACATGCGAATATATTTGCATATTCCCACAAATAGAATATTAGTTTTTGGTCAAGAAATGTAACAATCTTAAAGAACAAGCGTTATGCTGAACCTCATACTCTGCTGTCCAATTGCTCATTGATTCTGCCTGTGATCAATTAGGACTTTTACAGCTTCCACTATGACCACAGAGTGCATTGGTTACCTGAATGGGTCTGCACTGATTAGTTAATGTACCTTTCCCTCTGACTTCACGTACATAGAAAATTAGTGCAAAGATTGATTGAAGACAAATATATCTGAACATAGGCATAAACGTGAAATTAAAATTCTCAGGGTGATAAGCGATTTGGTGAACTATTTCCTTCACCAGTGGCAGAAAGTTTGAGAGTTGTCAGTTTACGTGGAGGGTGCTGAGGACTCTTACGGAGATTATCATCCATCTGCAGAAAGAATTTATATACCAATTCAGATATCTGAAGGTTATTTATAGTAAAATCTTCACACTGTATTATTCAATTATACATCTTAGAAGACAGTTCCCAAACTACAAAAACTGGTGCAGTTTCATTTAAACAAGGGGACCAGGTCAATGAGAGTGAACCATTTCAATGTGATTCATCACTCAATTATCAAACTACAATTGATAAGTAGGTATATCAAGCCTTGTTGTTTCAATAAATACAGGATTATTCTGGATCTCTGAACTATCATGTATACACAAACCAAATCAAAATACTCTAAGTGTTCCTCTAGCCATAGAGATGCTTTTCTAAGTGCTTCTGCACAACTGAGGTAATGTTTAAATGACCTAACCGTATGGAAAGTGGCTGATAACAAGGGCCTTTCTACTAGAAAAGGCATCCAACCTCCCAACGCAGTGTCTGATTCTGCAGGTAAAATCCACACAATCGGTTCCCACCACATGACTGAATGCTACTGTAGCTGTACAGGAGCCATTCATGGAAAAGAAGAATGGGTAAAGTACCCATTACTTAGGGTAATTTTTAAACCATTTCTGGGTTACTCCTGGAATCACTTAACAAGGTCCAATATTGCTGGGATAATCCAGTTTTAGAACACAACTAAATTTAATCTGAATATATATGAGTAGTAACATTTAGAGAACTTGCCAGCAATAACGAGTGAACTGTCCTTTTTAGCATGATTGGATGGTAACAACCATTTAAGAAGCAATGAATTCCCATGATTCAAGGACTGACTGAAATATATTCATGAAATTAGGATGTTTCAAAAGCACTTGTTACATAACTGCACATAAAAGTGCAGTCCTATCAATACTCAGAAGGAAGCCTCAGTGAAGCCACAGGAAGGGACAGCAAAAGCAGTGGGGATGAGTTCTGGTCTCTTCAATCATATGCATCTTTTTCTTTCTGATTTCCCACACCTTCTTTATATTTTTTACAGACAGAAATGGTCCAAACACACTGAACTGCTGTCATCATTCTTGCCCTCTTGTTATCAAAAAGACTTTAAAAAGTGGAAAGATTGAAATAAGGAGAACCTTTTCAATCAAGTTGGATTCCTTGTTTACAAGCTGTGTGAGTTTCTGCAGATTCGCATCAACAGTGTCCTGACTTGCTGGAGAGGTCACTAAATAGACAGATCAAACAGAAAGGGAAAGTTAGGAGAAACTGAAAATCCTCACAGGATGCAATCATATGTGTCTCTAGACAGGAAAAGGTTGTGAAATGTCCAGCATTCAGGGCTGCTGTTTTTCTACCTAAACACGGGTAGGATCACACACTTAGAAAGCTTCTGAGGATTTCCACAGGGAAAAGAAACCCAAAAATTGCATACATCCTAACCAATAGAGAGTAGAATCATAAAAAATTGTAAGAATTCCAAAGTTCTCTGACAATATAATTTAATATAAATCAGGTGCTGTAATATTGTTTAGAGACAGGTATTTATCTTTTGAAAATATAGAGCATGTTGAAAGAGAAACATATCGCTTACCTGATAAATTTAGTCTGAAGTAGCAATTCAGAATGTCATCACAGAAGCGACATAAATTGGGAAGTAGTTTCAAATGATCTTGTAACTGGACTTTGGGGAGTGGTGCTTTATATAGGGGAGCAAGAAAGCCAAACACAAAGGCGTCCAGAGTTGTAGGCCTAAAGACAACAAACATGGGAAACAACTACTTTCCAACAGAGAAAACTATAAAAGAAAACAGCTATGTTTGAAAGATTTTCACAACCTATGTTTTGGCATGTGTGCTAATGTGGAATTATACCTCTTCTGACCTCAGTCTACCTGGATGCTAGGATCTGCATCTGAGGCCTTCCTCTGATTACCACCTCCAAGGAAAATCAAGAAAGAGGCAACAAGGAGGAGAGTCTTCACATTTGTGGTCCCTCAATTATAGGATTGTCCCCCCAGCCCTGAGACCCACCAGGCAGTTTCTCCTTTTTGCTATCAGGTTAAAAAATGCCCTCTGCTCCCTGCCATATAATGGCATATAATGGGTTGAGTTAGCTATTTTAATACATACAGCTCTTACTGAAATTGTTATAGATATTTAAATTATTTTTTTGGAAAAAATGGAATTTTACACAGTATTTTACATCCAAACAGTGAAGAATATAAGGTTGAAACAAATAAAATAACAATACATTAAAAACAAAGTAACATTACGATTGTGGCTGGTCAATAAGAAAAAGGGTTCCCAGAATATAGTAAACAGCACAGTGTTGGGGCCTGCCTGATCTTTCAAGACAGAGAATTCTGAAGAAATGGGGCCACCACACAAAAGGCTTTTCATGAGTTTGACTCCAGTTAGGTCATGAGTCGGTGTGGAACTACCAGAAGAATGTCCTTTGATAACCTCAGTAACTGAGCAGGTCACTGGGCAGGTTGGTAAGAAAGGTTAGGAAGAAAGAAGGTGCTCTCTCAAGTATAAAATCACACAGTAGTAGAGTTGGAAGGGGCCACAGAGCCATCAGGACCAACCCCCTGCTCACTGCTTGTTATCTTGGTCCCTGGCTTTGTACGCCAGGATTAAAACCTTAAACCTTGCCTAGTAGTGAATCATGAGTCAGTGCAGTTCCTTCAGCAAAGAGGCTGCATGCTAAAGCGAGTCAGTGCAAGGATTGCTGAGCAACTGCATTCTGCACTAACTCTAGCTTCTGGAGCAGCCTACAGTACATAGAGTGAATTGCAGTAGTTCAGTCTTGAGGTTTCCAAAGCCCGTATTATGGTGACCAAGCTACTCTTGTCCAGGAAAGGCTGGTGAACAATTTGGAGTTAATAAAAGCAATCAATCTAGGGTACCCTCAGATCAAAGACCTGATCTTTCAGGAGTGCATCCCCCTGAATAACTGCAGAAGTTAAAGCTAGCATACAGAAAAGAAAAAAGGAAATAAAAAGCATCTTCCTGCCTGGCCTTGAAAACTGTTACAATACTTTTCAACACAACAAGCATTTTGGCATCAGAACTGCCATGCAACATGTATTGCAAGTATTATACATATTCCTATACTCACGTATTTCCAAAGAAAAATGGAGTTGTCCCTAGTCTGGTTGACAGAAGATTCAGGCACTCCTTGGCATCTCTGTAGATCTAAAAAAGAAGAAGAAAACACAAAGCTTATTTATAGTGCTACATATTGATACCCACTTAATATCTGTATTAACCCTAAGATAATGCATGTCAAGTCACCATATGGCTTTGTGTGAATACATATGAACAGCTCACCTGTGGTCATTCATTTCTACGCTTACTAGTTTTGCACGTATGTCCCTTGCATCATCCCCATTCTTGAGTTTGTTCATTTTTGGACCACACTATTTCTATATTCTGCTGGAAGACAGTGATCTCATATCAATTATTCATGATGATAATTTTCTTGATGATTTCATGGATTAATTACACCAGCTTCCTGCCAATGAGCCTGGCCTTGAAAACTGTTCAGAAGCTTCAGCTGGCACAGAATGCCTTTTCGACTAATGCTAGGTGTAAAGAATGTATAACACTAGTTCCTTCCATTTGTACCAGTCAATAAATTTGTTGGCTAGCACCATTCAAGGTAGTGGTGTTGCACTACAGCACCTATGCATCCTTGGCATCCTTATGTATTTAAGTAGGGATACATGAAATGGGACCACCTACTATATTATTTACTTATTTATACATTTATTTATTTATAAGCCACCTATAACTGTTGAGCCCTTCCTGGGTGGCTTACAGTACATATTAGTATGTCTGGATTATTTACCAGATTAAGCATGCCTTATTGTTAAACTATTCTGAAGATGTACTCTTGCTCTGTAAATTTGAAACATGGTGGTGGGCTAAGGGAACTGTGCTCAAAAAGATGACATCCACACAAAACTGAAATCAGCCTAGCCCTAAACTTAACAAAATACTTTCACCCATATGATCTGTGCATCCACTCAGATTATCAGAAATATATCCTGCTGAATACTCTTTGTAAAAAGGCAAGACTGGCAGCAATATAAGGCAGAACATCTTCTATTATGGAACAGTTTCACCACAAACTGTCACTTAATACTATCTTTGTGTAGTGAAAACACACCTGTGCCATCAGCTCATGTGCATGGCACTGAACAGATTAGAAAGGATTTTGCACAGCACCTGTTAACTTTTTTGATCAGTAAAAAAAAATTCTAATTGATTGTTCTAAAATTGTCAGTTATGCATTTTACAGTGATTCTTTGTTTTGGATGTTTGCAATCATAAAAGAAACGCCTCTCTAGAGGAAATAGGCAGGTTTTTTTAAAGCGCTGATTTAGGAAGCCAATAGACCCACAGATCTTGCTGATCCTTCCTATATTACTCTGTCATAATCTAATGTAAGCTTAACAATATTGTCTTCCATTAAATCAATATATCTGGACACAGGAAAAGAAAGAAGAAAGTAAAATGTACTGTAAATTATTAAAACAAAACATACTGCAGATAAAGATAAACTATTGCCAAGGAAGTAGGTAAATTAACATGTACATTTACCTGTGCTTCCACTTCAGTGAGACTGTAGAGTGGAGGTCCCCCTTTTGTCAACAAGATCCTGTTAAATGCTTCTCCAGACATTTTTCTAGGCAGGTACCAACTCAATGGAAATGGAATTCTTGAAGCAAACCATGGTTTTGTTACGTTGTAGTAATTATCAGCTTCAACCCAGAAAGTGTACAGCTATATCACAAATATAAAGAATATTAACACTGTAGAATTAACACAGACCCCTACTATAAAAAAATAAAAATATCTCCAAATAGTCATCAAATGATGAATTTAAAAAAAAAATTAAAAGTAGGTTCCAGTGTTGAAACACCACATTCTTTTAGCACAAAATTCAAAATCCAATTATTACATATTATTTTCTATACACTTTAAGTACATGGCAAAGATTCAGAGTGTAAAGGACAGAATTGGTTAACTAAAGATAGTCAGAAAAGGTAACAAATACATCAAATATGCCATTGTGCTTAAAGAAGCAACTTGTACCCAATTTTGATTTCTCCCACGCATGCCTGTGCACGCACACACAACCACCTAGTTGCCATGTCAGCAGTGCTTCAGTGCAGTGAAATAACAAGCTTAAGTAACACGTACACTGCTTGTGAGCTACAAATCCTCTGTCCATCTGCTGAGATTCTATGTCACTACAGGCCAAGTCCTCACAAATGGCAGACAGAAAGCTGCACACGTAAAGTGTAGCGTAACAAAGAGAAGGCTAAATTGGAGAAAGTCTGTGGCTGTTCTCCCTCCTGCTACTTTGTTGATACTGTGGAACCCACCTATTTAAAGAAGTGTTTTGCTAATGAGATTGCATATTGCTGTTGCTTTATTAGTTCAACCAACCTTTTATAGTTTTGACAGTATGTGTTTTAGATAATTGGAGCCTCAGAAAGGTGACATATAAGCATTTATAAACCGAACGCTAGAACTTCTACTTGTCTTTGTGAACAAGTTTTGGTGGAAGAATTATGTGTGCCTCAACTTGTAATACAATCCAGACACTAGTTTACCTCCTCATTTGCTATTTGTAAAAACTAACTTACATGGAAGCAAGATCAACTGGGGCTTTCTTTGGAACAGAGATGGCTAAGATTGTGCTTGAAATATCTTAAATCTGACTGCTGATTTTAATGAGACCTGATAATGATCCAAAGTGGCACCCAAAGACAAACGTGCTTCCTTAAACATCTCATAGCGCACACAAACTGAAATCCAAAATTAAGTCCTATTAATTGCAACAAACAAACCAAGGATGTACTTCATACTGAATGGATGACACTCCAAAATATTAACTTTGGTCACAAACACACATAAAGCCTAGCATACCAAGGAGAAGACATGCATCTTACCATGGCAGGATATATTTTTTCTTCAAGTAGTGCAATGTATGCCAGTGTGTCAGCTCCTTCTTTTGCAGACAGTTCATAATCAGCATTATATGCCTGTCAGTTAAAAAAAGCAATATATTCATACAACAAGTAGTCATATCATATTTGTATACTGCCTTTTCTATGGAAAAGCTACCAAGGTAGTGTACAACAATTTAAAGCAATAAAACATTAATACATCAAAACAATATATTTTAAAAATATTAAATTTTAAAGCTACACATTTGAAGAGCTATATTAAAAATACATCCTCACACCCATTCTAAAGGTCAAGATTTCATATGAAACTTTCCAACTGAGCAAATAAACTGAGTTAAGAGTTCCTATAAAGTTAGTTATAAATTCGATATTGCACAAAATGTATAAAAGTACTTACAATCTTAACTCTTCCTTCCATTTAATAGTTTCCAAATATTATGTTAGTCTTATAGTTGGAGTTATACAGACCCCTAGTTGCATAAATCTAACAAAATCAGATATTTAAATAATAGAATTACGGTGTGTCTGATCTAATATTTAGAATATTTAGAACAGGCTCAAGAATAATGCAATACTTCTCAATACTAAGCATATGCAAGAGAAACTATGTTTTTAGGCATATTGAGGATTGTAACTTTTGGTTGCAACTTTTGTAACTTTCTGACAACACTTCTATTCTTACCCTAAGCTCATATATCTTTAAAAACTGGTACCTGAGTTTGCTTGTTTTCCTCTTCCCTCCCCATTCCATTTTCTTTTTGTGTTTTCTTTTAGAAACTTGCCTGAGGACAAGGACTGTATTATTTTTATTGACCTTAAGCCACTCTGGGAGGTTTTTCAATTGATGAACAGGATAAAAAGTGCTTTGTATATGTACAGAAATGTACTTAGGAATAAGAGCTTATTTTTGGGATGCAGAAATGGCCACTACATTGATTTCCAGCCACTTCATAACAAGGTTTCTCTGATTCTGCCACCAGAGGTTAAATTAATTGTAGGTAAAAGTTTGTATTTCTGTTGTTAATACTGCTTTTTGAAAGTCTGCAATAGCATGTCAACAACCCACGCTAAATTCAGCCCAAGCAATAGATATTTGTTGCCATAGGCTGAAGCAGCTGAAAGCTAGCAAGAGCCAGTAATTTTCATATAATCACTGCAACATCTAGTGATCACGAGAATGGCTCTGGGTACTGTTGAAATCAGTAGATCTACTTCTACCCATTTTTAGAATTAAATGTTATTTTAAACTTTGGAGCAGGTGGTAACATGTATGAACAATAATAGTTCAGCAGTGGCAGTGGAAGCCCAAATTCTGTAAGCACTACTACAAATAAATCTGTGTAGTGGAGTTACCATCAAGTGCTTTCAATTCTAAAACATTCAGTAGAAGATTTCCTGGCTTTAAAACATTTCAAATAAAGGCCTGCCATTTCTACATATTACTCTTAATATGGACTGTTGTTTGTACAGGTTCAAATCTAATATAACTGTATCAAGATGGCAGAAATAAGGTTATGGTGAATACCTCCATTTTTTCTAGGGGATTAAATGGGCTAGCACCAGTTCATCCAGTAGCATGGAGCAATAACAAGATACAAACTGAAAAACTAGGCCAATGAAACTGTCATTTAAACAACAAGCATAATAAAACATGGCATGCTGTTTACTGAAACTCACCCGTTTTCTTAAGAAGTTTAATATTTTTGCTGGCTGAGAAATAACAGTGCCATCCAATATCAATAATGGTAAATTACCTAAAGATAAAGAATTAATCAGTCAAGGACAGGCAATCAAAATAATTATATTAATGATAACTTAACAGATGATAAGTTATTATCCATATACGAAGGCTGATTAACGATACCAAGGTTGGTGATATACCAGACTTTTGTCAGTGCAAGGCAATAGCATTCTATTTGATCTAGAAGGTTTTATATTTGTTCAGTCTTTAAATTAATGTTCATCTTGTGCAGTTGCAACACCATACAGTGCAATACTGGAGGTAATATAAATCCATCATAATTAGCAACTACTGATAGTTTTATTCACTAACTCCCACTTCACCCTTTAAAGCCATCCAAGTTTCAACTGCATCTTATGGTAGCAATTTCTATAGCTTAACTATGTGCTGCATGAAAAATTATTTTCTTTTATCTGCACTGGCTTGCAACATGGTCCTAGCACAAAGTTAACTTTCATTTGACCCTGTACACTGTTGATTTTGCACAACAGACCCGAAGACTATTCCATAAGCCAATACGACAGTTCCCGTATTTGCAAAACTAGATATAAATGTAAGCAAAGTATAGCCTATAGAGCTAACATACACATTTAAAATGCTAAAGAAATACCTCTTGGTGCTTTCCATGAATTATCTATAACATTTATTTTCATTGGTGCGCCAGAAAACCTGGCATAAGCCTGCAAGGAAAGGCAAATAAAAAAATACATTCAACAATTTACTTTTAAAAAATCAGACAATCACCACATCACCCTGGAGACAGAAGCAGCTACTTATTTGATTTATAGTCTTCCTAATCATAAATAATCAGAATGTATTATTGCATTATGTTGCTACCACAATAAGTATCATGATGGACACTTCCATGGGGTATCAGGAAGTGTAGTCAATTGCAATATGCTAGCTATATGGGTGTGCTTAAATTGTATATTGCCCAAATGGCAAAGGTCCTTGGACCAGATAACAATCAGACACCAAACAACAATGAAAGCAATAAATAATAATAATCATGCAAAAATCCAAGTATAAGACTAATAATTAAACTTTAAAATATTTTTAAATGCTAAGAACTTTGCTGAACTATCAGTAAAACTAATAAAACAACAGACTGAGGGTAAAATGTCTGGTTAAAGAGGAAGGTCTTAACCTGAGGTTCTATTATTATTAATAATGATGATGACAATGATTATTTTATTTCTATATTGTTCGGTAGTTGAAGTTCTCTGGGTAATGTACAACAATGGAAAAAATACAATATAAAATAAAAATAATAAAAAGTCATAAAATGTCACTGGAAATTTAAGACCAAATTTAAACAGCTAAGACAGATTCACACAGGTTGGCAGCTAAAAACGGCTAACAATACCTTCCCCCAGCGCTATATAAAACTGTTAAATACCTTAGCAAACAGGGCAGCCTTGCCTGGTGCTTAAAGGATAGTAAATTGGCTGCCAGGAAAGCCTCAATGGGGAGGTTATTCCATTGTACCACAGAGAAGGCTCTCATCTTTGTTGCTACCAAATTAGCATCCTTTGCACAGAGTATTTGCAGGAAGTCCTCACATGCTGAGCACAGAGCCCAGGCAGATTGTGCTTGAGAGAGCCATTCCATCCAGTATTGCAGCCCCAAACCATTTGCAGTGGTGATGCCAAGCCGATCTCCCCGGGGAATGGCATTTCAAAGAGGGGGAGGGCATTACAGAAAAGGATCTTTTTCCAGTAGTCACCTGTTGCACCACTGTGGGGAGCAGCACCCAAAGAAGAGCCTCTGAAGAGGATCCTTGTGATTGGACAGAAACATATGCATATGCAAGCTAAGGCAACTGGCAAACCATGGAAAAGATCCAAGGCCCATTCTCAAATCAATATTGTCATTATGTAGTGGCCTACTCTGTCCAAAAAGAGAGCTACAACCCACCTTATGCTCAACATAACATGCACAAGTGATAACAGTCACAAATGCTGCTGTCCATTTTTCAAGCTTATGATAGCGCCTTGACATTTTACTGCAACTCTCACCCCTAAAAAGACCTGCAGTTGATTTTTAGATTATCAATTTATTTCTTCTGCTTCCAACAGGATGTGTGGGACAGAATTGCTTAAAAACAAAACGATTTGAAAACATCAAATGACATTGACTTTTCAGTCAATAACTCACAATTCTACATATACTTAGTTAGAAGAAAAAAGTCCTACAACTCCCAGCATGCCTCAGCCATCAGAGCCGGTTAGAGTATATTAGGAATTTCAACAAAATTTAGGAATAGGATCGCACTCTAAATTATTTTCATTCCTGACCCAAATCCTTATGGGAAGAAAGCAAGGTGCCTCAGCATCGCCCTCTTGAAGCGACGTCTCTTCACAACAGTCTTCCCCAAGGTGATGCACTCCAGATGTACTGAGCTCTAATTCCCGGCATGGGAGCTGCTGGTAGTTGTAGTTCAACACACATCTGGAAGACACCGCGTTGGGAACGGTTGACCCTCCCCACTTCCAAGGCCCTCGCCCGCGCAGCCCATCAGTCGTTACCAAGACGACGAGGCACTCCGCGTGTACGGACGGCAAACCCCAGTCGCCTCCCCAGCAGCAGAGCTCCATGGAAGACGCCATGTTGACGCGGCCTGCCCTTGCCCTCGCGAAGTCCCGCCTCGCTGTAGGCTGGGCCAACCAAGCTGGTGGCGCTGGGATCGCGCGCGCGTCCCCCACGGCCTTCTGCCTCGTGCACTCGCGAGGCGCGCGCGTCGGAGATGGCGGCGTCCGGTGTGCCCTTCCTCCGGTTCCTGCATAGAACAGGGTAGTTCGCCTGGGAGCAAAGGCGCCTCGAAACGACTCGTGTTTGTCTCAATTGCAGATTCTCAGGACACCGCGTTGGCGTCTAGGAATGAGGGCAGGCTTAGCTCCGCCAACCTAATACCCTCCCATATAGGTTAGAGTACAATTCCCAGCATCCCCCACCTAGGAGGGACCGGACTAGTGGGAGTCCTAGTCCAACACATCTGTTGGGCAAAAGGTAGGGGGAGGATGTGCTAAGGAGTGAAAGAAACGTCCAGTGTGACAAACTGCTCCTTTAGGTGCAAAATAGTCAAGAGATGCCATAACAGTATTACTTAAATGAAATGAGAGACTACTCATTTTGTGGTATATTCTTTGCAAGGAGGGCAGCAGCAACATCCTGCCAAGGCACGACACAATACTGAACATGTTTACTCAGGAACAATCCCATTGAGTTCAGTGAGGCAAGGTCATTGCTGTCAAAACCGATGCATGCTTGCTCTGACTCAAGTAAGCCTTAAGTGGTGCTTCCTCAATTGCATGGAAGTGTGGCCTTAATCGCATCTACAGTGGCAATCCTCTGTAGATTTATTCCTAAAACTCACTGAAGTCAATAGAACATGCTCACACAAACAAGAAGATAACAGAATGGCCAAGGTAAACATATTTTGTGATGTGAGCAGAACTAAGAAAATGAGCCTTTGTTAGCTCAGCCCCCAGCCTCATATCAGCAAGGGAACATTTTAATTGGGCTGCATGCATGGTGGTTGCTGGGACCTCATGTATCTCTTGTGAATTTAAATTGGCATTTCTCACCATAAAACATAGCAAGAAAGTATTGGTTCTTTTCCCAATTGATGCTTTCTGCAGTTTTCGTACAACAGAATGTGAATGTATTTTCACTATTCCAGCTGCTAGGAGATGCATGTCTTACATTCCCTGATGCTAGAAATTCTACAACTGCAGTATAACCCTGTTTATCAATTTTGTTTAAAATATTTCGAGGTTGCCTTTCAGAATAGAAGTCATGCTGGCTTAGGATATTGAAATTCATTTAATTAAAAAACAATCGAGTGATGCAGCAGGAAGCATTAATAAAAACACCAGCCACAGAATATCACTAGAAGCCTACAGTTATTGCAGCTACAGAGGAAAACACTCCTATAAAATAATTAAGGAAGTGTTTGGAGCCTCTTTTGCACATCACAGGGTTTGCTCAAAGGGCTGCCATAGTCCCCCACCTCCCAAACACTGCAGTCATCTAGATTGCCTATTCATTGATGCAGGCATGGCCTTTGATGACTTTATTTATTGTTAAAACAGACGTTTGTGATTTTATTGCAAATCCCATTATTTGGCCCTTGAGAATCTCTAACATCTTCAATTATTTATATATTTTCTTTCCCTCAAAGGAGGCCAAGACAGCAAACAGAGATTTGAACCTTGGTGCTCCCAGTCATAGGCCACTATTCTTAACACTCATACTACAATCAAAAGAGTTCAGAATTCTGAAAACCTCTTTTGAGGAATGGTCTAAAAGCAGATGTAAATTCTTGGATGCAGTACTAATTTTCAAGTTGCAATTGTTTGACGACAAACAGAAGTAAAACTGCAATTTTAAGAGAGATCAATTAGTATTTATTGAATCTGGAGACAGAAGGGAAAAATACTGCAGAGCAAAAATCTTCCTTATATTGTATTGAGTCAGTGTTAGCAACAGTAAGGTTTTTATGGAGAGTTTATAGACTTTATGGAGAGACTAGAAATATTTTGTGGTTTCCATAAAACCCCCTTTCCTGGAGTCAGAGATTTTGTAAGATTTATTTTTCACCTAAGCCCTTGCCCACCATGGATATAGAAACTTTATAGATTCAGTAGTGAGGCAACTAAAGAACACCCAAAATTATCCGGCTGTTTTTCACATTTCTGATGAATTAAATAAACATATGTTTGACCAAATATAAGTTAACCTTTACACATATCTTCATGGATCATTTCCCAACACACATCTTAATATACATGTCAGGAAAAGTAATGAGGGGAACAACTTGAAAGGAACAGAGCTATTAAAAGAAAAGAAAAAGAAAAAAATGGAAAGGTTGAGGATCTGGTATGTATTACTGCAAGAGGCAAGTTCAGTAATAATATATTTGACATGACAGTAATAATGGGATATAATAGAACCAACAGTTTTAAGTAGTAGGGAAAGTGAAAGAAAAATGCTAAAAACATTAAAATAACTATCCAAATAAGCAGCAAGCTAGTATAGAAACAGCCAGAAGTTTCCTGATGTTAATGCTTTTTCAAATAAAAATTTTATCCTGTAAGTCAAATAAACAATGCAAGAAAAGGAAATTTCACAGCTGGGATGCCACCACTGATAAGCCCTTACCCTTGGTGACCAGCCATTTGACCTGCAAAAGCAAGGGAATCCAGAGTAGGATGTTGTATGATTACTTGTAAGCAGGCATACTCATAGAAGAAAAGATAGTTCCTAGCAGTTCAAGCAGATTAATTATCAATTTTGTTCTTAAAAAGAGTAACACAATTGATAATATAAAGCTGAAAGCTACAGATAATAAATTAAAAAGGGAAAAGTTAACACCACTGACTACAGACAGAACTGGGGATATAGAAGCACCTAAAAATACCAGCATTGCACCTTCTTAAATAGCTCACATAAAAGATGGCTCTTAATGCCTTTTAAAAACATATTTTGACTAATTTGGAATGCACCAACCAACCAATCATGGATCCATATTATAAACTGTAGAATAATTTTTAATATTTATTTATTAATTAAAACATTTCTATGCCGCCCCTTGCCGAAGCCTCGGGGCGGCTCACTACAATAAAATGCACAGTAAATTAAAACAATTTTTCCAACATATTTATATATTTATTTAAAATTTTGTATACTGTTAAAATATGAACTGTTTTGGTATAAAATGCCAATTTCTGTGACTGAAACTAGTGTTTCATGTCAAAACATTTCATACTAGATGCATGAGTTTTGGTAATTAATTGTAGTTTGGAGTGATGTGTTATTTGCATTGCATTGCCTATGTATAATTTTATTTTGTATTATTTATTCAGCTTCTATTCAAAACTGGGAAGGAAAAAAACTGCATATTGAATTCTTTTTGACTTCTGACATTTCTCCAGACATTGCTGATATGTTTTTAATATTATCTCCATTGGTTTAAGGTGGGTGGCTTTTGTTTTTTTAATAAATGAGATCTAATGTCCCTGGGATGTTAAGTTATGTCCTTAAGATTCATTTTCTATGCTCATGAGTATCCAGTTCCAAATAAAACTGCCGATATCATATTACTCTTACGTAAATCTACATTGCAACACTTAGAATATTGTGTACAGTTCTGGTCCCTACACATAACAAGGATATTGTGGTGTTAGAAAAAGTGCAGAAACTGAAATCATCAGGGTGTTGGAGCAGTTCCCCATGAGGAACGGTTACAGCAGTGGAAGTTGTTCAGCCTGAAAAGAAGGCAAGTAAAGGGAAATATGATCGAAGTATACAGAATTATGCATCATGTACAGAACGTACAGAAGACATTCCCCACCTCCACCAATACCTGAACCCAGTGTCATAGTATAAAGCTAACTTGTGGAAGATTCAGGATAGACAAAAGGAAGTATTTCACACCACATGGAATTAAAATATGGAATTCAATGTAGTGTGGGCCACCAATCTGGACAGTTTTCAAAGGGGATTAGACAAATTCATGGAAAAAACACTATCAATATCTACTGTTCCTGAGATTATATGCTGCCTCTAGCATCAGGAGCAGTATGACTATGTCTACCAGTTGCTAAGTCTACCAGTTGGGCAGGAGGGTTCTGTTGCACCCCTATCTGCTTGAGCGATCTGGTTGGCCACCATGTGAACAGGGTCCTGGATGCACTATTGGTCAGTCCACCATGGCTTTTTGTACGTTCTTAAATTATTTATTGCTAAAGCTAATGAAAACGTATTTCCACATGAATAACCAATATATCTCTAAGTATATATACTTTGCAAAGAGACTGAAGAGTCCTATTTGCTAGAGGAAATGAGCAGAAGAATGTTATTACATTCAAGTCCTGCTTCTGGACTTTCCACAGGCATCTGGTTGGCCATTGTGGGAACAGAATGCTGGATGTGATTTGATTCATCACTGCTCTTCTTTTCTCCTCAACTATATTCCCCCCCCTTCATTATGAATACAGAAATTGGAAAAAGTGATGTAGAAAATCCCTAGTCAGTGATTTGAGGGTTGGTACCTTAGGTAAGCAGCAAAGAATGCCTCTGCTAAAATCATCTTTTGCTTCCATCATTTCTACGTTACCTCTCTACTTATGTCTTTCTGATGTACCTCCTTGATATTTTACCATCTAAATAAAAATATAATAAAATAAAATAAACACACAGAGTGGGAATTTGATATGGGATCTTATGCCCCCTTACCTGAGAGTACCCCTTAATGATTTACTTCTCGGTAAATAATTGGATTTACTTCTTGGTAGACATGAATAGGATTGTTAGGGACTTTTTATGCCTCCCTAATTCATTCCACCCTTTTGTCCTTCATGCCCTGTCCCCCCATTAAGTTTAATCTACTGTCCTTCTTCCTTCGTAATTACTAATAGGTTTCAATAATTGCCTCCTATTGGTATCTATCAAGCCAGCAGCCATCACATTTTTCACATGCTTTTGTCCTTTCTTGTCTGATTTGCACAGTGCTTTGACACCAAGTATTCATGCCATTTAGCATGTCATCAGAAGTCAAATAGACAACTAAATGCACACTGAAAGTATGAATGTTTGCATCAA